AGCTGGTTTCTCTTCATGAATTTTGAACTCCATAATATAAAATCGGCAATCTATCAGTCACTATTGCTTTCACTTGATGAATAATCATTTTTGTAGAGACTTGAAGTCCCACTTTTTTATAGTTTAAAATTTAAGTTTTATAGTAAAATTGCCTTTCGTAAGTTCTCCTTACTGTGATTTGCTTTTTTTTTAGATCCTCTTCCTGATTCTGCCAAGTTCTTATGATTTTCTTATTTGGGGATGGCCCGAAATGCCTCTCTGCAGCCCAGTTTCCATGTTCTTTAGCATATGCAATCACACATAACTTGTAACCCATGCTATAGCAATACGAATATTGTTTTTTAGCCATAACTTGCCAATAGATTTAAGATAACTGAAAAGTAGAAATTTCACAGACTTAAAAGTTTAAACGAACCCAGCTGTGATCGTTGATGACAGCGCATGCACATTCACTGAACTCTACGTAACTGTAGTATTCCCACACTTCGCAAGGAAACCCCGCCCCAAAAAAAATTGCATAACTTTGAATAGAGGAAATTATTTAAATAGAGGAACTGAGTATCGATGTATAAGACGCACCCCGTTTTTTAGATCTATTTTCAAAGAAAAAAAGTGAGTCTTATATGCCTGCAAATACAATAAATAAAAACATACGCCAAATACCTGAACGATAATTTACTCCAACACTTGATTGGCCATGCTGGGTCAAATGATATGCCACTGCGATCCCCAGATCTAACATCTAATGATTTTTCTTGCAGAGTTTTGTTAAAGACAAAGTGTTTGTGTCTTTTTTCCCATGACTTACAGCAAGTGAAGCAGTGGATAACTGAAGTGCTTGAATTATTAATAAACAATATCATGAATGTGGCAGGAAGTGGAATACCACCGATATTTGCTGTCTCCGCAGGGGCATAGAACATCTATAGAATTTATAGAAACTTCGATAACTATAGTTTCATTGTAAATTTTATTTATCAAAAAAGAAAGTAATTGCAGCATTCACAGATATGCTTTCCTTTTGTCCCATTCAATATGAAACACCTTATATTTTATCATACAAAGTAGTAGTAAATATGTTGCTACACATCTAGTTTTCAATAATTCGACTATTTAAAAACATATTAATTTTGGTAATAAAATGTTTCTATATAATTTCATTTGTTATTTTAAAATTATATGATGTTTATTTTGATTGAAATTCCAAGTAATTTTAGTAAAGTATACATTCATATTTTAGAATTTAACAAACATTCTCTATTCGTAAAAAGCAAATTTAAAGTTAATTAAATTTTAAATGAAATTGATGATTAATTATTGCTGCGAACTAATCTACAATATCATTTAAATTCTGAGAGCATATGTAAATATCAAACTCTATGAATACATAATTCCAATAAATTTTTTAATCCTAAAAATTTATAAAAATGCTTAAGTGAATAATTGTTGAGCAGGTAGAAGACAGACTTATCAAGGTGAAGTTGCCTCCAAACCTAACTCTTCAATTATTCAATTTGTGTTTCGTCATCCATGTAGGCAAGGGTAAAAAGAAAAAATCAAAACCAAATGTTGTGAATGACTAAAAAGAAATTTAAACAGTGGAATTTTGAGAAATTACTTGCACTTGATTTACATATGCTCTCAGTATTTAAATGATATTGTAGATTAGTTTGCAGCAATAATTAATCATTTATTTGTAATTCAATTTCATTTAAAATTTTTAATTAACTTTAAATTTGCTTTTTACGAATAGAGAATGTTAAATTCAAATTTCATTCCTTGCAGCAATGGTGCAAGAGAATTATTTAAATTTAATTTAACTTACTATATTGTTTTGAAAAAATTTTAATATTTTAGAGATGTACAAATTTAGTAATTGAATTACAGCCAATTTCAAAGCTTCAACTGAACATAAAGAGTCTGCTATGAAACAATCAAAATTATACATGGATGTATAAATAAATAATATACTACCAGGGATTCAGATTTTTAGATCATGTTGCCAAATGAGCAAAAATAGAGGTACATGTATGATTAATGTGAGAATACTAGGAAATAGTGTTAGAACAGACATTACATTTTTTGCGCTAAATGTACTTATTACTGTTTATCCTCAGAGAAATTTTTAGGAATATTTATTTCTCTTTCAGTTATACTTCGGATTGCATGTGTATATGTAAAAAAAGAATAAAAAAAGAGAATACAAACAATCATTACCGTCATAAGTGGTTTGGCTATAAGGGAAAAAGGGTGGGTGACACATGGACTCATACCCTGAAGGTTTTTTTTTCAAAACTGGGCAGAATTGTGCAAAGTTAAAATGTCACCTTTGCCCATACTGATGATGGACAAAATCCTGCACTTCTTGCCATAATGTAATTCATGGATGTGCTGATGTTACTGTCAGAAAACTTTTAAGTACTCTTTTAGTATGTTTCATTATGTAAATTTAGAAGATGTGTATCAATTACTAGAATGAAATTATGAACTTAAAATGAACTCAGTGATGTTAAGGAAAACAAATAATACACTAAATATGACACATCGTGGTTTAACACTCAAAGAGCATATATGAAGAAATGTGATTATGGAAGATTTATTTGAGATAATGCAATTCATTTCCATCTTTCCTCTAAACTTTCTACAACAAGAAAACTTTTTGTGCAGTTCCTGCCATTCTTTTTTTGCGCAGAAGAATAAAGTTTTAGTGTTACAGGGTCAAGAATGACATTATATATTTGCTTTTGTTATGGTAATTACATGTTGGATAGGAGTTTTTTGAAGGCACTATCTTCTTTTGTTAAAATTCAAATTTCTTTAGACTGATTAAATAACTTATTAAAAAGTTATCAAATCAATGTTGATTACATATAATATTCATAAATTAGGTTATAATTTCATAAGCATTAAGCAATATTTTTAGAAATTTCAATCTTAGCACAAATGTCCATTTGCTTGCAATTTCAAATTTAATGATGGGCTGACATAAGGTCCATTTTACAAGGAAGCCATTGAAAAAATCCTTTGTCCAAGTTATGCTTCTTGGAAGCTTTTTTTCAGTTCATTTTATGCCTGTAACTACTCCAACCACAATCTTCTCATCTGGCATTTTCTTTCACTGTTGTTTGAGATTTTGCATTTCCTTTACATCTTAACACTATCTTTCACTTATTTCTTAATACACTTCTTACACAGATCAAATCATAATTTATTCCCGAAGAAAAAGATTACTACCAAGATGAACTAAAATTCTTATTCCTAATATGCCAATTATATTCCATCAATGGTGCTTTTAAATCAGGGGGGGTCTCAGCCAAGAAAAAATTTCATAGTTTCAGAGGGAGAATGAGGTCAGCTTTCTATTATGCCATAGGAAACCTTGCAATATAAGAAATAGTAGTTCTTACTCAAAAAACAGGAAGTTTCCAGCATGAGCATTTCAAATTCTAAATTAACTTAAATTTCCTTTAAACATGACTCAGGTTATTCTTTTATTTATAATTTCTATGTGAAATACAATATATTAATATTTAATTAAATTTTATGTTTTTGGTTAATTTAATTTTGCAATTTTAAACATGATGAAACTAAAATTAACTATTGATGTACATATTATTGTGTCAATAAATTTAATGTTCCATGTAAACAAAATTAAATAAAAATATTTACTAATTAAATGTAGAATTAATCTTCATATAAAGTTCTACAAATGTATTGCAGATTGAATAAAATTTGATGCTAAAAATTATGCTGAAAATCACTAGGAAATAAAATTTGTACAATTAAATTTTCAATAAATATACAATTAATAAAATTATAATTGAACATATTTCCAAAAAACTCTTTCCTTAGTAAAGGCTAAAAATTAAAAGCCAGAAATTTGGTAATTTACTAAGAAATATGATAAAATTGTCTCATTTCTGAATTGAAAACCTTATATTTTACTTATTTTGTATTTATATTTAAGGATTTGTACTAGAAAATATACTACACTCCATAAGTAAATATGATTAATAAGCACTTCCCATAATGATTGATTTACATAACAAGGGGGGATGACTCTCTTAATGAGCAATGTTTCTCAGACATCATGATGTCACAAGCAAGATCTTGCCTGCATCTCGGCTAGAAGTTTGGCTGAACAGCATTGTTGAATGCAACTCTGAGGGGTTTGAGCAAGTGCTTAAAATAAAAGAGATTTTTGTCTCTAGCCAAGATTATGGGGCCAGAAGCAACACTGATGAGCTAATGGAAGAGCACAGCCAGAGAAGAGCTTATGAAGCTGCATTCTGTGCCAGAGCAAGAAGTTGAGAAGTAGGAGCTCAGAGCCTTCCAGTAAAATAAAGGAAATGCTAAAAGCATGGGAGACTGTTGCGTCACCTTAAATAAGGGAGTAGCTATGTGCACTACAAATTTATTTAATGATAATGCTGTATTTATTTTTTGCCAAATTTTGAAGCACAGGCAAAAACATGTCTTTAGACAACTTTCTTGTAAAGGATGTATTATAAATAATAAATTACAAAAGTTCATTTATTTTTTTTTTTTTTCCCAAGGATGGAACACATTATCATGTTTTACATTGATCCATATCAGAAAGATTATTTCATGTAACAAGTGTTTTGCACTATGAGTAAGATTTATAAACAAATTATGCTCACTAATTGAAGTTCTACTATATTCTACCACACAGTCAAATATTAATAGCTTCATAAATCATCCCAGTACGATCAAAGGGTATTCTGACATAATTAAAATTTTTTGTGTGCAAGCAGTGGCAGAACAACTTGAAGAAATAAAACTAGAAAGGCTCAGCTTCCCTCCCACACCCAGTTTTGATTCCAAATGCCTCAATCAGATGATATCTGAGGAACTTGTACCTCTCCCCTTACCACCCACATAGGGCCTTCCACAGAATTTAAGCACATATAAAAACATTACATACTTATAAATACACATAAATTCTTTGTTTGGCAATTGTAATTTCACATAAACAATACTAAAAACAATATTTTGAAATTTATTAAAAACAAATGCACAGTACTGAAATCAGTTCTGTTTGTTCCAATATTAGATGATATAAATGTATTGGAAACTAAAAATTGATGTGGAAACTAAAAAACTGTGACTTATTTGTCTATCTTCTTGAGTTAAACAAAACTGCATGGCATAATTATAGTTACTTATTAACATTATTCACTTTAACTTGATTAATCATGTCTTGAAATGTTGCCATGATTTTAAGCTCATGCTCTCTTTCATCTGCTTTTTGCTTTTCTTCAAATTCCAACCACATTCTTTGAATCCTTTCATCCACAGCAGTCCTTTCATTTTCAATTTGTTCAAGTTTATGTAAAATTTTTGCATCAGAGTCTGTTTGAGATTTCATAAATTTCAAGCTCAAAGAGTCCATCATATTTTTAAAAAGAGACATTCGTAAAGTTAATTTTCTCTTTTTCTTCTCAGAAAGATCACCTGAAATTTAAATAAAATAAAAATTATGTTTAATCTGGAAACTTCAAATTAGCTATAAAATGTAATTAAGTTTATAACTGTTAAAAATATTAAGAAAATGTATCCTTGCTTCAGTTTAAAGGGGTTTAACAAAGTCAACATCAGGAATTTCTGATCTTTTTCTTGCACCAACTCTTTTTAAAAGAATTTTTTTCTTTGTTGACCTCTTACATTTTTCTCTAGCATACATGAAAATCACAAATAATTACACACAAATAGCTTAAAGATAATAATTAGACTAAGAATTTTTTGATGTTTCCATTGGTGCACTTCTTTCACACTGTCCTGACCATTAATTCCATGTGCATGGAATTCCCAAACTGAAATAGAATTTCATATTTATATGTTTCTCCATTTCACTCGTAACAGCGTTGCTGCATTACACCAAACTTTTACAACACATGCATACAAACACTGCACATTTGGATAGCCACCCTGCTTGGAGAATGATGACTGACAGACTTCGGTCTTTACTGACCTGCCTATATTGCATGCCAGTAATCCCTTCAAATATTTATTGACTACAGCTGTACATGTAATGAAGACACCAGGCAAATTGAAAGTATTTAAGGTATCTCTTATATAAAATTCTGATAATACAAGGTGCACTCCTAATGAAAACAAACAATTTATAAATAAGAAAAAGCTTATTAACCTTCAAACAAATTTATCTCCTTCAAAATATTTATCAGAAGAGTTTATACAATTTTTTCAACATTTCCTCAGGCCATCAAAACTTAGTTTATAGGCACTAGAACTAGCATTTGCAAAATATACATAAGATTTGATTTACTATCCAAAACACTATCAGATTGCTAGCCTTTCGTGGCTATCTTAAGCTTTGGAAAAAGGAAAAAATCACCTGACGAAGTAGGGAGATTGGGTGATTTATCACTGAAATTAAATGCTTAGCAAGATACTATTGTACAGACAATGCTGTATGAGGCCTAGCATTATCGTCTAAATGAAATCAAAGGCTGGAATCAAAAAGTTCCTTCCTAACTCACTTTATCCAGTTTCTTATTGAAAAAGCACTTCCTTGTAAAAATACTGATTAATTGATTAATTTTCACAGACAAATTTATGGTGAGTAATTTAGAGTAATTTTTACTTTTGAGATGATAAAATGCAATCAGCATCACCTTAGGCTTTGATTTAGACATCCATGTCTTTTTTTGGGGGGGGGAGATGGGAGAAGGTGGTGATTTCCACTGTGCACTTTGTCTTTTTGTTTTTGGGTCATATTGAAGACAGCAGGCCTGATCTCTCACTATGATAAACTTTAAGAAAATGTCCTATCTTGCAGCAGTCAGCAAATCTTCACAGCAACCTTTTCATGTCTTCTTTTTCCTGTTGTGTATAAATCCAAGGCACAAATTGAGCACAAACTTTCCTCATTTACGGATTTTCAATTAAAATTAATTTATAGCTTTCTTTGTTTAACTCAAGCATATCTAAAAGTTGAGTTATTAGACATCTATCAGCTTTTACCAAAGAATAAATTTTCTCCACATCATTTTTTGAATTTGAAGGATGCCATATCTTTGGTTTATCTTCAGTGATTTTATGCCTACATTTAAAGTGGCTTATGCACTTGTGTTCTTGATAATGATCATATACTGTTCAAATCATCCATAATGTTCCGATGGCAGATTTACTAATTTTGTAGTAAAGTTTAATGTTATTCTATTTCAAAGCAAATTTTTTTGATACAGTGTCTTCATAGTACATGAAAATGACCATTTTGATATGCAGACCATAAAATAACCAATTTAATCTGACTTTAACAAGCGATGTCATCCTTTCTAAACATACATTTATTCCTTCACTTTTTTATTTTATCGTTTGGTCTTTTAATTTGCTCGGTTACTTTGTGAGCATACCTTAATTAAAAACTTATAAGTTAATATGAAAACAGATGGCAGATGTTAAAGCATAAATTTATTTCTCTTAAAGGAAAAGAAAATTATAAAATTATTTTTTAATCAATAATTATTTAAATAGACTATTAATTTATTTTTCAAGTTTATCTCTTGAATTTATTTTAACTAACAGAAATTCAAGAGATGCGAAAAATTGGTAGAACACTTTTCAGTATCTATATGTTTGTATTTTGATAAAGTAATCCAAACATTTAAAAAATTAATTATGAAAACGTATAAATAACAGAAACACAAAGTTTGCAAATCCAATTAGAGTAATTAATTACTATTATTTAAATCTTATCATTTTGATACATGAACATTTTGTTACTAAAGCACATCTAATCAATACTTGCCAGTTTCTTAAATATGCTAAAAAATTAATTGCAAAGCTTTCCCAGTCAACTAAATTACTTATATTTATAAGCTTTGAAATACTTGTATTACATACATTTTGTCTTTAAATGACTACATTTAATGGGAAATTAAACACAACTGCCATGAGATTTAGAACATTCTATCAAATCCATCTGTCCAGATTTCTTCATTCAGATGCTTCCTCTACCTTGCTGCCAAATAATACTGGAATTCAAACAAAAAATTTGAAGAATGGCAATTTTTTTTTTTAAAATCAAAGTCATAAAAACTTTTTTTTAAACAAGATTCAGTATTCCCTCCCCCCCCCAAAAAAAAAGTTTTACTGAATTGTACTAGATTGAAATTTTTGTCTTTTGCTAATTAAATTTTTTTACTAAAAATACAGAATTTTATCTAATAGTATCTACACAAATGTAAGTAAACTCACTGGCCCTTTAATTTTACAACATTATAGTCTTTTAATGCTCTGTGTGTGGGGGGAGGAGGGTCTTTATTGTGCACAATTTTATTGCAATTTGTTTTATATTTTCTTGACTGAATTTTTCTTTCTTTCTAGTTTTTAACTGATAAAGGCTCAAATTCGATTTCATTATTTACAGAATCTTTATGAAAAGTTTTTCGTTTTCTTGGCATTAAAAGTTTAGTTTAGCATAATCGAGGACCACCCATTTTTTAGTGTTGTTTTAAATGACAATTTGTTTTAAAGTATGTTTGTTTTGCTCTTTATATTTAGGTGCTTTTGAATTTCGTATTTGCATATTATAACTGTACACCAATTTGATATTTAATGGTCTTTTTACATAATGTAAAGTTTTGTGGTTTTTATTTTGAGTAGTCAGTTTGCATAATATTGTTTTTTTTTTTTTTTTTTTTTCCAAGTATTTTGAAGGTGTGTAGAGAAAATCCTGGTATATTTGAGATTCGATTTTCTATGAATTTTAATGTCTTAAATGAAAATTTAATAGATTCTTTTTTGGTTTTTGATTTCAAATGAACCAGGAGAATGAAACAAATTTTCGAAACATATTAATCGACTTTTATGAAGCTTTAATTCATTTTCCCCTGATAAGTTCTAAATAGGCATTTCAGTAAAAGGAGGTTAATTTAATTTTTGTAATCTTGTATATATTTTTCCCCTTTTCCATTTTCTTTTCTTTTTTTTTTTTTTTTTTTACAGTTTGTACTATTAAGAATTCATATTTTAATTTTGATTTGTTTTAGATATTGTGTTAAACCTCTTACACACGATTGCAGTTATTAATATTGTTAACTGCTTGCTTTGACTCCAATTTACTTTTAACTTCAGATTCTTTAAGTCCCTCTCTCTCTCTCTATATATATATATATTAAATGTTAAAATTAAAAGTGGGAATTCTGATAGATTCATAGATGCTTTTGACTTTTCATAACTGTCAAACATGAGAATTCAAAAGTTTTATATTGAGTTGATATATGATAATGACATAATAATATTGCAAAAAAAAAGCATACTAGTGTATAACAAAATCAGATGAAAAATTACTTTTTTCTTAGCAAAACATATGAAATATTTTTAATCAGTGGTCACTTGATAGAAATATATAGTCTCCATAAAATCATCTATCTAAAATAATTATATATATATATGTGTGTGTGTGTGTGTGTAATGAAAGCACAACATATAGCAAAGCATCTGGCCAACAGGAAAGCACAAGCAAGAGTGACACATCAGTTCATAGAATGAAGGGAGGGAGTCAAAAGTTTTAATGGGTACACAAAATTTTTATAATTGTGATATAATAAATGCAATATTAACATAAATTTGGAAGCACTGATGTAAGGACACTAACACGTAGAAATACTGATGGTGTAGATACTTGATGCTTAGAACATCCATCTATTCTGAAGAATAAGCAGTCGAGCCGGATTAAATTCTACGAGGGCTATCCAGAAAGTAGATTACGTTTTGGAATAAAAAAATAAACAATCTAATTTATAAATATACTATTTAAAATTAATGTTATAAAATAATAAAAAGTAGGATTTTATATACAGATGAACCACACTCAAATACTACTTTTCTACATAGTCACCATACAAATTAAGGCATTTATCGTTGCGATGTACGAGCTTGGAAATTCCTTCGTCGAAAAATTCGGCCGCCTGCGCCTTCAACCACTTCGTTACCTCTTCTTGCAGCTGTGCGTCGTCATCAAAACGCTGCATAGCCAGCCACTTCTTCATTGCTGGGAATAGGTGGAAGTCGCTCGGTGCCAGGTCGGGACTGTACGGCGGATGAGGAAACAACTCCCACTTAAAAGATTCAAGAACTTTACGAGTGACATTTGCCGTGTGGGGCCGGGCGTTGTCGTGAATCAACAAGATCTTAGAGCTCAACATTCCTCTGCGCTTGTTTTGAATTGCTCTTCTGAGTTTTTGGAGAGTTTGGCAATACCTTTGAGAGTTTATTGTAGTGCCTCTTTCCAGGAAGTCCACCAAAATTACACCTTTTCTGTCCCAAAAAACAGTCGCCATCATCTTCCTTGCCGACATTGTTTGCATGCATTTCTTGGGTTTTTGGGGAGAACTTGTGTGCCCCCACTGCATTGATTGCAATTTCGTTTCACAGTTCACATGTTTCACCCATGTTTTCGTCACCAGTAACGATGCGATCGAGTAAAGAGTCACCATCCTTATGGTAAGCGTCCAAAAAGTTCAACGCTGCAGCCATTCGCTGATTTTTGTGGTCCTCTGTCAAGATTTTTGGAATCCATCTTGCACAAAACTTGTGGTAACCAAGCTTTTCGCTGATGATTTCGTGCAACAAACTTCGCGAAATTTGTGGAAAACTCAAAGAAAGTTCCGTTATTGTGAAATTTCGATTTTCACGGACTTTAGCATCGACTTTTTCGAGAAGTTCGGCGGTCACTATGCTGGGTCTCCCACTTCGATCTTCGTCGTGAACATTGGTTCGGCCATTTTGAAATCTTATGACCCACTGACGCACTCCACCTTCAGTGATAATGTTGTCCCCATACACTTCACGAAGCTGCCGATAGATTTCTATCGGTTTACAGTTTTTTGCAGTCAGAAACCTTATTACTGAGCGCACCTCGCAGCTCGCGGGATTTTCAATTAACGCAGATATTTCAAACCGTCACAGTATCTGAACGGAGCACAGCACGAACCTCTCAGTAGCACGGCTAGATGCAGACTGAGCTGCGCAACGCTCTGACCCCAAGATGGCCGCGCTAGCCCCGCCCCTAGCGGACACAGACGGAAACGTAATCTACTTCCTGGATGGCCCTCGTATATTTATTTAAATTCACATTTTGTGGCCACAATTCGCTTGGCACTCCAATCGTGCCTATTTCCAGAACAATTCCGATACTATTGCCATAGAAGCAAACATAGAAGATTGCTGCAGCATCTTAACAGGATGAAAGTATAAGCAAGAAGAGAGAAAGAGTGTTGCAGTACTTCAGAGGAAGAAAGGTGGGAGTCAAAACAGATTTTGGTTTGCAGATTACTTTGACTGGGAAACATATCTGCATTAAGCATTATGCAAGATCGCATGATTTCTTTGAATGATGCAGTTTAGACTTGGACAGAGAGAGAAGTCTCCAAATTAAATAAAAATTAAAGCCAATTAAATTTAGAAGTTTACTTTCACATTTCCCCCTTTCAAAGAAAAAAAGGCAGAGCGATAGAGAAGCCTTTTTGATATATAAAGATTGATTTCAAATTTTCTTAGGAGATACACTGATGATCAACAGGTATAGAGACACACTTCTTATTATTGTACACACACACGCAAACTTTCATATTCAGTTTTCTTCATTAAAAATTTTTAATAAGTAATTTAATTTGTATATGGTTAGTATGACATGCTCATCTTAATGTTTCTAATTTATAATACAAATAAATTTGTGAAAAATTACATACCATAAATAATGCTTAATGCAATTTGTTTACTTTAGTGTCCAAAATGGCATTAAGAACACGCAAAAAAAAATCTACAAAAGTTTTTTTTTTTTTTTTTTCTTTCTTCGGGGGTACTGCAGGCCTGTTTCTAATTGGTTAGCAATCTGTTCCTCCATAAACTACTACAGTCAAAAGTCTTTAATCCGGACTCGTCGGGACTTCGGCGATTCCGGATTATCGATTTTTCCAGATTATAGATCATCAGTTTAAATCTGGTAAGAGGCATGCAGAAGTTATAAAATAAAAATATGAAACCGTAATTTATGAAATAAAGACCAAGGATCTAAAGGGTATCAAAATTATACACACAAAAAAAAAAAGCTTAATATTTATTTGTTTTTTTTAAACATTTCTTTCAATGTAAGTTGTTTAAGTTTGCTTTGTTTTATGTGATAATACTTTCTCTTTAATTCTATAAACAGACATAATTTCTCTTCAGTTACAAATCAGCTGGTCAAGTCCTATAATTGCTGTGTCGAGAATACCGACTATTGTCAATCGAAATTTTTTCGTTTTCAATAACCTCTGTGTCACTTTCTTCACTATCGGAAAGCGAATTATAATGAGGAGGAATTTGATTTAATAATATCAAAGACGGAGTACATCGAGATAAAATACTACATTTAGTATCGAATTATAAGACAAATAAAATAAAAACATCTGTCCTGAAGATAAGGATAGTGCTGACAGATCAACTTCTAATTCATTGCGCGCCGTGTCGTTTCCTTCCCCCGCAGAGCAGCGTGAAATTGATAAACATATTTCGGATTATTTGATTAGATAATCAAGGATATGCCTTTATCCATTTTTTGCAGCAATTTCACTTTGGTTTAATGGACTTAAATACTTTCGCTTTGTAGATCCTTTACATATTAGTAAATATATATCGGAATTCTATTTGACATAATCGAAAGTTCAAGCTTACTTTTAAAATTGCTGTAACAGTCTGCAAAAAATAATAAGCCGGATCCAATTCGAGATTAAGGAACAACGCAATCTGAACATTACCTGAATTAGATAATTTAGTTGCTTATACCGTCCGTTTACATTAAACGCACTTGCGTAAACGTATTATGCGCATGCGCACACGCATATTCGCAGCCGTAAAGTCTTACGTCAAAGCGATGCATGCGCAGAAATTTTGTAGATTTAAGGTCCGGATTATAGATTATTCCGGATTATGGGTGTCCGAATTAACGACTTTTGACTGTATTTATTAAAAAACTGTTTACTGCAATTACACATATAATAAAGGATGAAAAGGACATGCATTTTGCATGACAGAGTTATATGCATCAGTTAATAAATACAATTATGCAAAAGAACTGTAATACATAAAATATTACAAGTAGTATTTTCTCAAAATTATTACATTTTTTCTGGAATTCTTAAAAGAATGAGAATTATTAACATGACTGAATATGTTGGGAACATCTGATTGATAAAGCATTATACTTTAGATAAGTAAAATTTTGGGCTGATCTTTGGAATATGGTAACAGGTAGTTTGGCAACATTTTGGAGGCGATAAAGGTTACTACCTAGGACTTTAGTAATAATGTGAGAAGCACTCAGTTCCGATTATGCATTATTTTGTGTGAGGGAAATGAGAGATCATGAGATATGTCATGACATTAATGGACGAATTACAGTCTTTAATCGGAAAAGGGGGTAAATTTGGAAAAATTTTTGTATTAAGCTTCATTGTTGTGTGTGTGAAATAGTGTTGATTAATTTTCGGATTGCATGGCGATGTAAAGTGAATTCTAAATTTTAATACGTAATAATTAATATAAGTTGACTACTGGATTCGGATTTAGAAATTAGCAGTGTACTGCAGCCAATTGGAACTCTTTCTGTAGGGAAGTGTGCGTGCCACGTAATGAAGATCTGAAAAGATAGGTAAGTTAGTATTTTTAATCATTTGAGGATATTTTTTAGCTTGTAGAATGTAAGAGAAATAATTAAATGGTATTTTGGAAAATTGTTATTAGCAATGATTTAGTTTAAAGTATTAGGATTGTAATCTAATTTTAAATTAAGTATGTGCTTATTTATATTTAAGTAGTGTTTTTTAATTTAATTATATTTAATAATGATCGTGATTGTGAGTTATGTTTGTATTATTTAGAATATGTTTGAGTAGATACGTTGAGTATTTCATGCATTTCGTGAAATTTTCTAATTATGAGAAAAAAGCAGTGTACATGATATAGTGAAAATGTGTGCAATGCCATTTTTGTGCACTTCTGGGATTTTTTTATTAGTAAAAATAAGTCGACGTTTATGGTTTAGTGATATTTTATTAAATGATAGTTATTTTGTGAATTTTTAGTTTGTAGAATTTGGTATACGTTTAGTTGAAGTAACGTGTATGGAATAATTTAATATTTGACACTAAGTATTGTAAATTTTTAATGTTTGCGTATAAATTTCGTTGGTGACGTTTATAATTAATGATAATTTAGAGGTAAAAGTTTTTTGGTATTTTAATTATTTTTAGGTTACAACTCTAATAACGCCCTAATTTCACCAAATGGCATATGTGTTGTGGTGGTTTTTGGCACGATTGCGTGTTCTCTTCAACCCGTTGAGTTGAAAAAATCTTTCGCTGGCTCGTTGATTCGCCTCTGGTTGAGAAGATGGGAGGGAAAGATAAAGGTAGTGTTGAATTGAAGTTCGGCAAAAAGGAAATATCATTTGCATCTGTTGAGGGGTAGTGGGTATTTGGAAGTGGGAAAAAGGGGGAGATATTTTAATGGCAGTGCATGATAGAATAGGGATTTGTGCTTTTAATTATTTGGAACCATAGTATAAATTTCTGATATGTGTCTGGCTGTCATGTAAATACAATAGTGATTACATGGCGGCATGTTAAAGGCGTATGAAATTTTATTCTGCTATTCGAAAACGCATTAATTCGTGGTAAGTGCATTTTATTTTATCCTTGTTCTTATTTGTAGAATGTTATGTTAATGGTTCTTGTATGAATTTCTGTCGTTTTGTTTTTTTTTAAAATTGTTTGAAATTTATTTTAGTTTATTTTGTTGTTTAGTGTCTAGACTGTGCAATTCGTTGTTTTTTTAAGTTGAAACAAACGCGTGTACATGGTATTATTTGAATTTATTGTTGTTATGTTATTTTATTAAAGGAGGAGTGCGTAATCGTAGATTCCTTCCTTCCTATTGTGCAATTCGTAGAATTTTTTAAAGTTTAAACAGGATGCGTGTACATGGTATTTTTGAAATTTATTGTTTTATGTTAATTATTAAGCGAGGTGTGCGTAGTTTGTAGATTCGTTGGTTGCACATTGTGCCTTGTAGATGTTTTTTTAAGTTAAACATTCGCTGTGTAATGGTTTTGTCAAATATTCTGTTAGAAACTTACGTTTTGCTATCTAAATTTTTGTTTTGGATTTTGATCTAAATTGTAGTTGAAAACGAGTTTTTGGAGACATTTTAGGCAAAATTCGAAATGTAAAAAAAAGTTAGATATAATATGGATTGAAGTTTTCGCCAAAGATATTGGCGCGAATTGGATGAGGGCGCATTCAGAGTAGTTCCATTTTATACTTGGAAAAGTTCATTCTTGGAAAGGGTATATACTTTTTTGCGATCAGGTAATTTCATATATGTTCTTTTTACCGGATTTAAAGATTCACAAAATTTTCATGCATTTTCGTGAAATTTTTCTAATTTATGAGAAAAAAGCAGTGTACATGGATATAGTGAAGAGTGTGCGCAATGCCATTTTTGTGCAATTCTGGGATGTTTTTTTTAAGTAAAAATAAGTCGACGTGTACATGGTTTAGTGATATTTTAATTAAATGATAGTTATTTTGTGAATTTTATGTTTGTAGGAATTTGGTATACGTTTCAGTTGAAGTAAACGTGTATGGAAATAATTTAAATATTTGACACTAAGTATTTGTAACCATTTGTAATGTTTGCGGTATAAAATTCGTTGGTGACGTTTATAATATAATAGATAATTTAGAGGTAAAAGTTTTTGGATATTTTATTTATTTTCGTGGAAATGTTCATCCTTGGAAAGGGTATATACTTTTTTTCGCGATCAGGTAATTTCATATATGTGCTTTTTACCGAGTTTAAAGATTCAGAAAATTTTTGCATTTTCGTGCAAATTTTTTAATTTATGAGAAAATAGCAGTGTAGATGGATAAGTAAGAGTGTGTGCAATGCCATTTTTGTGCAATTCTGGGATGTTTTTTTAAGTAAAAATAAGTCGACGTGTTAAATGGTTTATGTGTATGTGCTATTCTGAAAAACGCGCAAGGAGTTTGCGATTGTGCACTTTTTCCCAATTTTGCAGTTAATATTTGTCATGATTAAGCAGTTTTGTTACATAAAATTTCTAGCATAAGTATAATTCGGCTAGTAGATTGTTGGAAAAAGTGTTGAGTAAATAAAAAGAAAAGAAATGTCTTTACTTCGTGAAGACAAAATGGCGGAAAAAAAATAGAGGGTTGCTGTAGCGATTGGTCGCCAAAAAAAACCCTTACCATATCCAAAGATCACCAATTTTGACTAAGTAAATGTTGGACGTACTTTTCCTTTGCCGCGCAAGCGATAAGCCGCAAAAATGGTCAACCATGCCAAGCAGAATACCTCGCTGGTACCTTTTGCGCTCATTTCAAAACATCGAGCCTTTCTTATCAGATTGATTGTTTTTTCATACTGCATACAGATTACCAGGTACTCGTTTTATGTCTAAGACCATTCGCGTAATAATTAATTAGGATTCATCACACTGCTCACCGAAGGGAAAATATAGAAAAGCAAAGTCAAGGTTAATTCATCCTTCTAATGAGAATGATTATCGAGTAACATGCGGTTTTACTAATTTTGAGTAAGCTATTCGTACAAATTGAAATAATTCTTGCATAAACTTGTATTCAAATCAGATTAACTGAAATTAATGTAGATAATTATGACAGAATAGATTTTTGTAGCGTATTTACGTGAGTGAGATCACAGGGGGTCCGTTTGAAGCTGCAATAAAGATGTATACCATGAAGATTAAATCTTAAATTATGTCTTTTTACAAATTATGGTCTTATTATGTCTTTTACAAATTTAAACGATATTAAAAGTTTATGCCTTTAATAAAAATTTCTAGAACTAAGATTGTTAAATTTTTTATTGTTACTGTGTGGTGGCCAATAAAGTCTTGCTTGGCGAGACTTGCAGCAGGCGAAAGAAAAAAAGTACGTTTGGACTTAAGAAGCTTATATTTTCTGAGGGCAGCTCTTGGCTAATAAAATACTGTATTGAGTAGAGGGTGACTAAAGTATTTAAATATTTTATTTAAACACAAATGTTTTTCAAAACTAACTCTTTCAAAATTAGAATTCAATTTAGATTTTTCTTTCAAAAACTCCTCACATATAAAAATGTTGTTGCCATTAAAAGATATCCATGCAATATGAAACTTTTCAAAACCAATAATATAAACCTTACTCACATTATGGAATACTGATCAGAACTATGAGTTTCAAATAAGTTGAGTAGTGTTCTCTTTCTTCACTAAAGTACATCGGGCCCAAGATTTTTTACATCTTTAATTGAAATGAAAATTAAATAAACTAAGTTCACAACTCAAAAACTACCAAAATTTACCTATCATTAAATCAGAAAACATGCAATACTTACTTTAAATAAAAAAAAAAAAGAAAGATTAAAATGTACATATCAGACATTGATATCTATAATATTGTTTTAGTATTCTAAAAATATTACTAATTTTACATTCATTTATTTACCATATTAGTTTTTTTCCCTCAAAAAATGTTAAGCAAATTAACAATTTTATGAAAAATATTTAAATAATCAAACGTACATCTCTTAGAGGGTATCCCAAGAAAAAAGATCAGGAGAAATTTCATAAAATGTAATGCAAATATATTTCAATAAGTTCTGTAACATCCTACAATAAATAAATTTTTAATAAAGATACGCATTCAAAATCCATTAATTATATGTGCAACATCAAGTGTTAATAACTAAAAATTTAAATGTACATAAAATCTAATTATGAATTAAAAGAAGTATAGCTAAAGACGTTTGATATGCTAAATATTATTTACACTTACCTTTATCGAGAGATTCACGTCGCTTTCTAGTCATCGGTGGTTCACTTTTGGGAACCGCAGGTTTAATTTTCCTTTGATTTCTTTCCCAAGTCCTTTTTTTGGTGCTCTCAGCTTCGTCTGCTTCGGATTCTAAACCACTACTATTAGGACAAGATCTCAATGCTGTATTTTTTTGATTTCTTGCTTGCTTTTCTAAGAGAAGTTTCTCAAATTGTTCATAAAATCTCATACTTTTCTTTGGTCCGTTTGACTTTTCATTATATTGTTTTGTTAGAGTATACTCTCGTTTCATTCTTTTAATTTTCTCTCTACACTGAGAGGCTGTCCTAATAAATCCCATACTGCTCATAGTTTCAGAAATTTTTTCGTACACTACAAAATTTCGCTTATTTCCTGTCAGTTCAGATTGGGCGTCATTAGCACCCCATAGCTGAAGTAAGAGCGACGTTTCTTCATCCGACCATGTAAATCCCCGATCGGCTGTGATTGCCGCGCACATTTTCAGTCACATTTATTTTTTTTTTAAATAAACAACCATTACTGATTTTGTAAATGCAAGTATTTCGTTAGGAGAATAATATCTTATTACACATTCTTCTATAATCATCGTGATCTTATTCATGTTTAATATCAGGTTAACAATAAAAATAATATATAAGTAAGTGCTAATGTGTAAAGATTTGGTTTAAGCTAGACCGAACCAAAGAATATGTATGTAAAATAGACATTCTTTGACAGAACAATGTTGCAGTACTCGATCCGGTTCCTACTGCGTATTTTCATCCGGGCTTCGAATCGATTAGCGTCTGGTTCATGGGCGAATCCGATTTCGGACTTTTGGGGGCGACGCTACAGCTGAACGCGTACATTTTCGTTACGATTCGGAAAGAAAGCTTGGGTTTCACTGCTTTTCACTCGTACGTGCCAAGTATTTTGCGTATAAATTCAACAGCACAGAAATCATAGAAGCACAAAACTACGTCAGAATTACTTTCGGCGCCAGATACGTTTCGTTTCGAAGAAAGTACCATGAATTTTCTGGTAAAAATTCTTGTGCGTAAAATAGCATACGAAGAGAGATTTAGAATTTTAGTATGAAAATTAAGCTATTGCTGTGAGTTTAGCAATAGTTATTAACTTACACAATTAATAAGGTTTAATTTCAATAATGGTCTTATGGCAATGCTTAATTCAGTTAATTAATTTTTTGGTCATGAGTTAATAAAAAATTCAATGCTTAATTCAGTTAATTAATTTTTTGGTCATGAGTTAATAAAAAATGCTTTTAAAATGGGTTCTAAAAACCTTTAAAACAAGGGATAATGTTTTTTATTTTATATTTCGATTATTTTTTAGTATAAAGTCAAAATTATATCAATGAGTGGTTCTTCAGTATGGGATGAACTTTTTATAGACCTATGGGGTCCGAAAAATGTATGTGTTTTAAGCCTAAGGAAATATTGTTCCTTTCTGGTCTTACAAGATTTCAAAATATGAAAAGTCTACACCCTCCATTTCTTCTGTTATGATAAAGAATTTACATTAATAAATTAGAATTTTGTTTTAAATTTTTCTTAATGTATTTTTGAGCCCGAAATTAAAAGTAAAAATATTTAAAATTATGTAAATAACAAATATATGCTTTATATTTCAAGGTTAATTTCGTAAAGTTAAAATTTTTCAAAAATATTCAATATTTTTAAAACTGCAATACACAATTTTAGAGAAAAGTACTTATTAAAACTGCAACATTGATGGTTTAAAATAAGAGTTAAAAAATAACTTATTTTAATCAATATACATGTATGCTGTGTAATAAAATCAGACTATATATAATACTATCATATGCAATAAGATTAATGAAAAAAAAGTCTTTGCAATGTTTTGTAAAGTGACAAAACATTGTGTTTCCTATCTGTTCTGTACCTTATACAGATAATATTAGAAAATTTAAAGCATTTAACTTGGCTTTGAGTTTTAAAGTTTTTCATTTAGAAATTTATTTATTTTTTTTTTAAATATGATTAGTACTTGTACTTTAAAGAAATATTTCTATTTTTATAAAAATAAATTGACTTTGTTCCATCTAAATTACAAATAAAAATTTTCTTATCTTCACTATTTTAGGCAACACAGAAATATTTTATTTGTATTTATTAAACCATTATTATTATAACTTATTAAAACTAAGTGTTCCTCAAAATCTTTACAAGTTTCAGAACATAAAATACTGACATTCTCAGTTGCTACCAATTAATATAGAATACCATTAAAGAGTAAGAGAGATCTTAGTAGTTATTAATTTTACAATAGTTTTTTAGAATTCAATATTGAAAAGCACAGATGGTACCAATCAGTTCAGATATCAGTAATTACTCATGTATTTATAATTTGTGTTAATTTCCTTTTTGAGAATTAATTGATATAATAATTAATATGAACAGTGAAATTTCTCAAAATTTCTAAGCAACAAAGCAGGTCTGTGGAGTTGGAGTTAGGCAGATTTGGGGGTAAAAAAGAGTCAGAGCTGGAGTCTCTAAAAACAGGTCGACTCCGACTTCAGTGTTTGTGGACAGTTTTAATTTG